AGAGAGAGAGAGAGAGAGAGAGAGAGAGAGAGAGAGAGAGAGAGAGAAACTTCTGCCATATTTTTAATCAATTCAATTCCCACTCATACGTAAATACGCATATCAAGCGCGGCATATTACGCGCAGTTGAAATTCGTGGCTCGTGTGCATATTACGTAACATCGTCATTGCGAAACGCGCGTCGATTGCTTTTTACATTTAAATGTCAATAGCAATCTTTCCACCATAGCAGCAAATCCAAAACGGCTAAGGGTAAAACGGGATTAATTAATTATCGGCAACTGTTCCACACCTTAAACGCATTAATTTCAAGGCAATTTTAACGCCATAGAATTCTTCTTTCTCTATTTCCGTCCCCCCGATTGAATATTCCGTACGATTATAATTAATCTTTTACTTTTCTCCGTGTTGTTAATGAATAATTCTAAGGACGTTAAAAGATTCAGCGGGAGAATTCGTAATTTTCCTAGAATAATCTATACCGAGCACGAAAGTTAGTTATGCGCTCGGTTTTATATTACTGAAACGACGAAAGGTAATTAGGATAATATTAGAATGATACTTTCAACTTTTATGAAACTGCCGTTACGTTTTAATGTCAGTTATATTCCAGACCGAAGATTCGTCCCGTACAGATTTCGTACAGATCTCAGCGGATTAATAATTTTCGACGGCATATAAATATACAGTTGTACCTACACGTACACGTGTTTACGGCCGTTTGACACGTCTGCGTGCACGAGCACGCGTCTCTCTCTCTCTCTCTCTCTCTTTCTCTCTCTCGAGAAAGAGAGAGAACGTACATGTGCCGAGGAAGTGTGCCGAGAGTGACAAGCAGCTGCAAATTTTCCTCGAGCGAAGAGTAGCGGTTTGTCTCACCCTCGCCTGTCTCTCGCATCTCGGCTTACCGCATTTTCCATTCGTCTTTCCACCCTCAAGAGAAAGAGATCCCTCGTGCCCCCTAGCGAAAAATCTCAGCGAGCGCGAACAACTAATCCGCAGCTGCTCGAAAAGAAAAAGACTCGCCCACGATTTGTTCTTTCTTTACGTAATACACTTTACGTAATTACATCAGTTTGATTTGTATCCATTGTAAATATAACGATGTTACACAAGGTGCGCGATAAGACGACGTTATACGGTTGCCAATTAATTTTATTGTCACTGTTATATTGTTTTTTCGTTATTAGCCGCATTAAGTATTGTTTGTTAGTTATTAACCCTCTCTTATCTTTCTGTCCGCAGCCACAGAAGAATTGGGAAGCAGCAAATTGAGCACCACATTGCCGACCGCTCCGACTGAGCTCTCGCAATTCCCGAAGCTGTGCGAGCTGCGCCGAAAATTCCCGGTTCTATACCGGGTGGAGTTTCAGGTGAGGCCCTGGCAAATCCCATTTCCTGTCAACTCATCCAACTTCGGTCACCCCTCAGTTCCCATTGGGCTCTCGCTTTTTCGCTTCGACAACTCTTACGACCTTTTCCTCGCCACGGTTCTTCGATATACGCGTTATCGATTTATTGGTTACAACAATTAGTCATACTTCATTACATCTTATAATCTTGAAACTGCATGTTCGCCTTCCAGTCTCGCACGCAGTTTAACCCTTAAGCGCGAAACTTTGCATATATGCAAAGCAACTTTTCGATGCTCCGTGTACTCTCCCTTGTGAAGTATGAACTGAAAAAACGCGCGGCTTTTAACATCTTTAAAGGGTTTTGTCTGGCCTTTTTTGGCTCGTCTTTCCCTGCTGAATGAGAAGGCCCAGAATTATTATTTACAATTTAATAAAAAATTATTATTTATTTTAAAAATACTTAGAATGCTATGAAAAATTGCGCATTTAAGAGTTAAAGAAAACATACCTACAGTTATGCTTTTGTATTATGTGGTTAATAATGGTATTGCTTCCTGATCGTATTTTGCTACAGACGTAGATGTTATTATTTCGTAGCCGTTTATTACTCAATTATTTTCCGATATTTCACCAGATATCGAGGCGAACACCGATCGGCGGTGCATTGTTAGATGCCGGTATAAGTTTATTTTCTTGTTAGATACATATATCGAAAATACGTGATGCAGCCGATTCTATGTACGTTCGTGCGGCACGTAGGCGTACTTATGGATATTACAGAGTGCTCGGCGATAGGCAGACAGCCAAGAGACAAAGTAAACCTCCTGAGGTGGAGTAGGTCAAGAAATTGAGACTCAGCATAATATCGGTTTCTCATTAGACAGTCGTTTTGGGACGCAAATTCTTGCGATATACCGAGATAGGTTTTACCTTGGTAATTTGCGCTAGCATACCTTCGCTCGATCCAGGAAGATCAAAGCCGCGACGATATAATTGCAAGAGTATCCGTCAAATGTCTTGCATCAAGATAACGTTGATAACATTTGACCTCTTTTTTATTAAAGCGCAAAAGTTTTAGTTTTAAATTGAACAGTATAAGTTTTTTTTAATAAAAAATTGTAATTTATATGTAAAGCATATTTGTCTTTTACTTAATAAGTGAACACTATTTTAAAAATTGTTAAAGCTATTAAAAGGCTAAAATAAGGAGAAGCTTTTTGGAGTAAGAAATTTCAGATTTGAAACACGTATTTTATGGCCGTACTAAAATTAAAATTATAATATATTCTTCCAATAAGATTTAATCTCTAGTCTCAAGTCATCGTGCCAATTATTATGCAAGTAGCACACGCGGTGCGCGCAAAATAGAAAAAAAACCTCCACGCGGATGACACAATTGAATTCTTAACTGCAACACCTTGAAGAACGACATCCGTTCGGCTCCAATCTTCGTTCTTCCCTTCATATCTCAGCCGCATCACGTTCCACCCCACTGCTGTTTCAAGAGATGAGGGCTCTCAGGCAATATTTACATATTTCACCGAGTTGCTTTCACGTCTTCGGTCTTCTTCGAATAGCAAAATCGATCTATCCTTTGTAATGCGAAGAAAATATTTCTCCCTTACGTATGCAGTTTTACTCTTGAGAAATTCCAATTGCTGATGATGGACTATCTTAGCAAGGCTTCGTCCTCTATATATTTTTGCAACATGAGGACTGAGTCTTAAAATATCCTATTCACGCGAAGATTTTCGCAGCAGGTCCAATAATATAACTTTTAAGATTTAAATTGAACGATCGTCAATTTCGTCTTTCACACGCGTATCTATCGCGTCTTATTACACGGGGAAAGTCGACGGTTTACACCGCGTCTACTAGCATAAGCGCATCCGAGGAATCCGCGGTGATACGCGGGTAAACGCTTTCGTAAACGTGGCAAATGCGGACAGCTTTTTTCCGGGTATCCGCCATCAACACGAGAAAGCTCTTAACCCTGCTCTCGTACCGTATGCATGACGGCGCGGCCTTCGAGTGCAGTTTATACGCCAGCAGATTATCCCGGGCTATCCGATGTCCTCGCAGACTTCTAACGCTTGCATAAATCGCGGCCGGTTATACGACGAAATCTCCTTTTTGCACGACGCTTTCGACGCTCCGTCATCAGTCTCTCGTCGTGTCGAAAAAATGTTCGCGTGTCATCGAAAAGGGACGTTCCTTTCCGCGGGTTTTTTTTCCCCCGGGACAATCTAGCATTTTTCTCATGATAGGAAAAATCCGACGAACTATCTGCGAATAACGGCGAGCGAGGGGGAATGAATAGAGAGGACGGACGGCAGGGGGATGGCCGCTGCTGAATTTTAAATCCAGCCGTGGCACGATGCGGCGACGTGAAAATCATCTCGGCGTGATTTTTAAATTAAATCCGCCCGGCATTATCGGAAATGAAAGTTCCTGATGTTCGACAAATAGTGGCGAATAAAAGCGTCATACGTATTCATAAAGGCACGCGGGGAATGCGAAAGAACTTCCGGTTCGCGAGAATTGCGCAATTATGCAGCACGTGAATTAATTAAATTTGAAAAGTATCAAAGAATTAATAACAGCGATAATAATGGAGATAATTTCCCTTTTGACCAATGTATAACGTCCAAAATACTTTGTGACGAACAGAAATCGATTGAAAAATCGACGCGATATATATTGTTATTACGCATGTCGTCGACGACATTTTAAAAAGAGCCGCGCGAACAATTTCCGCGCGGGTTTAGCCAAGTAAATGCGACATGTTTAGCACGCAGCTGTCGCGTAAGTTTTCTGATTTGTCGAATCTCCAGGACTTGGGCAATCGCTACTGCCAAAGCAAACGACACGGAGTCTTCCACTGTATCGCAAAACGTATACAATCGTTGAAATATTCGCAGTTGCTAACTGCGCCAAAAATACGATCTGCAATGCTCACTGATTAAATTGACGCGAAACGTTGCACGTATACTTTTGGCAATTTTGAAAAATTCCAACGCGCAGAATATACGCACTTTCTACGAGAAAACTGATGAATTTATCCGCACGCACGAGATACATACAAGTTTCGCGTTATCGATTAAGAACTTTCTTCCGATACAGCTTTGTGAAACCTTTTTTCAAGAAGGCAACAGGTTTTTTCTACTCGAGCATATTTATAACCAGAGTTTTATGTTGTGTAATTATAGCTGTCAGCTTTATTGCAAGCGTATAAATCGTAAAAAGAAATACTTTATATCACTTATAATAAAAATTCGTTTGTTAATAACGACTCTGAATCGATCCTCTGTATATATAGCTTTATTCCACTTTCATTTCATCGTCTGCACTTCCTGCCAGAAATGCATCTCAATCTGCGCATCACTGATTGCTTGCACGGTATGTCGTGTCTGCTAACGCGCACACGTGCGAGTGTGTGTGCGTGCGTATATTCTATTGTGTTACTGTGTGCGTATTGTTAAGTTCTGCGACGAATGTGTTCAACGTCAAAATTTTACTCTCGTGAGCGAAGATCTATCGTTTTTATATTATATGCTTTATATGTCTCAACTTACACGGTCTCCATTGGTAGGCTTAGTAACAACATCGTGTTGATGCCTCACCATTTGCGTACACTCTTATTTATACTCTCTATAACTGTATCCTCCATCAAGCATCGCAATAAATTAAATTAAATTAAATAGCATTCAATTTAATATCCATTCAAAAGGTAATAACACTTCTGTTATTAAAATGCGACACAATAATTCACTTTTTAAGTGAAAGTGACTAAGAATACAAATGACAAAAACTAAGTTAATAATGTTAATACACTGTAAAAAATTTAATGTCCCAGAAAGTCTACTCTAAATTTTGTGTTAAAATAACTCATGCATTGTGTTATTTTTTACATTTAGAAATGTTATTTTAGTCGATATAACATTTCTAAATGTAAAAAATAACACAATGCATGAGTTATTTTAACACAAAATTTAGAGTGGACTTTCTGGGACATTAAATTTTTTACAGTGTAATGTTGTATTCGTAATAAAATTTCCCGATACTATCAACAATTGTTATCAAGTACAGTTCTTTGAATAATTACGTAGTGATAATAATCAATTACACTATTTTGCTTAATAATAAATAATTACGTCGCTGAGTTTCCTAATAATTATAGAGGTTTTATATTCATTCGTTTATATCTTTTGTTTTCTGTGTTTGTTGCAGACGGCAACGAAGGTGGAAACTCATTCGTGCAGACACGCCACGAAACCCGCAAACAAGGAAAAGAATCAAAATCAAAAGTGTATTCCATGTAGGTGCTAATCGTCGATAACCTTTTGTTCCTATTTAAGCTAACTTAAGCCCCTTATTCGGTCGCCGTGAATATTATCACTTCCGTGTCCGAAAGAGAATCGCGTTGATTGCGCACGTAACGAAATAAAACATCGATTTGAAACGCTGAAAAGCTACGTAATGAACTCTCTCGTATAATGATTCGTGGACAAGCACGGATATAAACGCTATAGCACGCTTTGCAGATTCAAATGTTTTTAATTACAGTAAAGCTCGACACTGAATAAGTAAAAGATTCTATAATATCGATAGAAATAGTCTTTATCGTATATCAATTATGAGAAGCTTGTATATCAAATAAATAAAAAGTTTTATAATATTGATTGAAATAATTTCTATTGCACTGATATATCTGCCTCGCGAATTGGCTGTCGGTTCCCGGATTTTCGCACGTTAATTAACTTTCTTGCGATGAAGGAAGTAAATCAAGGTTACAAGATGGTTGCAATTGCCGGTGCGCGCTGTACCTCTAACGAGGATTTATTTCCGCTCTAGAATAAGAGCTTTTATCAGGAGGACTAAAATGTTTTTCTTCCCGCTTTTTTTCGTAGACGACTATAATAGGGTAGTGCTGGACACGATAGAAGGCGAGCCTGATTCCGATTATGTTAATGCATCCTACGTAGATGTGAGTATGTCATGATATTCGATAATAAGTATCCGCCAAGTTAATAGTGCGCAAAGGCTCTCGGCAAATTAAGCGTGTTATATACGAGTCGCGGATTCGCTGCGAGATTCGCGGATCTCGTACGTGATCCAATAACTCAACTAGATCCGTGTCTCTTATTTCGTGGAAAAAACGGCGATTCGTCGAGGCTAGAATTTGAATTCGCCTTTTGCACCAAGGCTCACGCAAGTTGATTATTACATCCGTGCGCGGAAGGCTTTGGACGAATATTAATCACATGCGTCGAGCGTCGAATTACATATGTTGATATTGACACTGCGTTTCAGAGTATATTGAAACCGAACGCTTACATCGTCACTCAGGGACCTATAGAGAACACAGTGACGGAATTCTGGCGGATGGTCTGGCAAGAGCAAGCCTCCTGCATCGTCATGCTCACGAAAACCTTTGACTTTATCAAGGTAAACAGCTATTTAAAGACTTTCGTAAAAAGGAGAAACGCAAAACGCGCGGAGCACGGAAATGGTGTCCATGGCATTAAAGTTGCTGCGTCATAAAAAAAGTAGTCTTTATCGCGCTATGACGTTGACCGCGAGTCTCAGCTTTAAGAGAGCTTAGAGTCCGTTATATAAATTCTTTACGCCCTACGGCTTTTCAGCCACAACTTTCCCTTACAGGTGATGTGTGTACAGTACTGGCCGGCAAGTAAAGAGAAAGACGAGGAATACGGGGGTATCGGCGTTTCCGTCTTAAAGGAAGAGGAACTCGCTAACTTTCATATAAGGACGATAAGGCTGTACAAGAAGAACGAGAACAACGTGAGTTGCAAAAAATAAAAACAAAAATATTTATTTTTTCTTCAAAATATACTTGTATCCCAGACATAATAACTGTCGGCATAAGCGGCAATTGAATAACGCGTGCCGTAAAAATAAATTCAATATTTGCGAGAAAGCGCAAACATTCGCGCGCAAATATTCGTGCTGATCGATCGAACAATTCAGTAACTCGAACATTCATATCGAATTTGTAAAGTTGAAAAATTCGCGATACGCGCCATTTGTCATCGGTGAGCGGAGTGACGTGAATCCTCCGCGACATCGTTCGAATATTCGTGTATATTGAGGCTTGAATAAATCAGAAGAGCTTGCGACGGGCCGTCACATAAACGAGGGGGATTATCCGGATGATCCATGGACGGACGTGATTCTTCTCCTTCTTAACGGAGAACATTTTTGCGGAACAGTCGCGAAGAACGCGATTGATTGCGATTGGATAATGCGGTAGTCAGCCGGTAACGCGCTCGAATGCCAACTCGAAGCTTGTCCTAGCCCTGTCGTTATAAGAACAAGACGAAAACGACGCAAAGTTAGCGAAAAAGTTAGCTCAATTAACCGTACATACAAATCGTATCAGCTACGTCATGACGCCAGCCGAATGCGCAATGTGATACGAACTCGCAATATGAATGAGGATAAGTTTGTTCAAGGAGCTATTACGCGAGCGGCTAATTTAATTGCACTTTTATCTGTGTGAACGAGGAACGACAATTGCGAGAACTTTCTAAAGCTCTTCCGAGCCGCGCGCTTTGTGATCTGATTCCACCACCGGCATCGTTACTTACCTAGTCCTTTTCTCGTTCAACTTTTTTCCGTTATCTAGAGAGAGAGAGAGAGAGTCCTCTCAGACTTTAAAGCTGTTCCCTTACATTAATGTCTCCGTCTGCGTTTCTAAACCTCCATATATATTCCTTTTAAGTGCCACATTGTACAAGAAAGAGGTGTTTATTCTTCTATGTGTATTCTTTTATGATAAAACATTTTATTCTTGTATGTAATATAATATATAATCTATCTTTTTTTTGTGCAAATTGTATACTTCAAGAGAAGATATTAAATAAACATTTAATGCATTTAAAAAAAATACGGTTGTGAGAGAGAACACATAATTAAGCTAATGCTAATAATAAATTAACCCTTAACTAGCACACATTCGCGATCGAACGTTATCTGCAAACGGGGTGTTGTACACCCCACACCGTTGGGTACGGCGAAATGGAGGCTCCAATAGGCTTGAAAAAAAATCAAGTACATACATTAAACACTGGAAAATGATATCCATTAGCCTCAACTATGAAATTTTTAAGAGAGTTCATCTCGATACCTTGTATACCATCCCGAAAAAACTGGATGGTGTCATAGGAAGCGGGAAGGACAGACTCAGCAAAGAGAAAACTACTGAGTTAATATACAAGATAGATTGCGGCGATTGTGATGCAACATATATAGGGCAAACTAAACGTCAATTAATGACACGAGTTAATGAACACCAAAAAGACATTAAAAAACATGACAGCAATCACTCCGTCGTTAGCAAACACCGTGTAATGATAATTTCAAATGGTCTGAAACTGATATCATCCATAGGGAAAAAAATACGAAAAAGAGAGAGATTGCAGAAATGTTTTTAATTAAAAAACACCCAAATACGATCAATTTGAAAAAGGATACGGAAAGTTTGAACCCTATATATGATAAATTCATTTCGTCGCTATAAGCATCACGTGAGCATCGCATGTACAATAACAACCTAATGTATTTGTTAAAACCGTGGAAACGATCATTGTGTCTTGAAACTCCGACAAGAGAACACGCTTGTTGTCGGCGCTCCTTCGATGATGTATTGCTCCGTATATCTGAGCAACAGCGTTGCATCACGGGACGCACAATCGTCACGCCGTACTCATTCTCGTTTTTCACCAACTTACACACGTAAAGTATAGGTTTCAGAACACACGAGTTTTACTTGTAACACTTTTTTGGTTCGTTTGCATTGACTTGACCATTGTTCTTATATAGTGACTTGTCTCCATGACTATTTCGGGTAAAATTTTCAAAGACACGGACGTGTGGTTTTGTGACATAAATTAACAGGTATCGTCTTTCATAATTTATTAAATTAGTATTAAAATTGTATCTCTTCGACCAAATTAATTTTGTTTTGTATTGATTGTCAGTTACATGCTTAAAAAGGGCCCGATCCAAGGGTCGAAACGTCGCAGCGTTTTGTAATAATTGCCAATCATTAGTCGACAACAATAAACGTTTTGAGTTTAATACATATTAGCGGAATAAACAGTTATTTCTTTATAAATATTTTTTGATAAAAATTTAACACGATGTTCTTGAGATAGAGTACTTTACGAAAAAAATTATGATTGTAGTGGGTATATATTTAAAAAAAGGTATTTATTTTCATAATCGCCTGTGTTCCTTTTTTCTGAATTGAAATCTTGATTTTTATAAAACTTATTTTTATTTTATGTTTAAGTCAGAGATAATCAATTTTACTGTAAGATGCCTAAACTTGACGAAATTCGTTTTGGGGTGTTCGACACCCCGCGTGCTAATTAAGGGTTAAAGAAAAAAGTTCATTAAATTTTTATTTGCATTAACCGCTAACTGTATTTTCTTAAGATACTGGCGAATTTTTATTAAACACAAATAATATATTAATTGATTCTTGTAAAGATATAATAAGTAGGCCATAAACTCGTTGATTCACAATGTATCATTGCTAAGAAGAGTAACTTACGCAGTTGGACGATTGAACAGATCTCGTCGTGAGACGAGTGTCAACACGTGTGACATCTCGTTAAAGTCGTCGTTTGTCGTTTGTCTCCCGTTCAGCACTTTTCGACGTAAGATTATTAACCGTACGGAACTACCGCGCGCACTATTCCATTGAACGGCAAGCGCAACACAGTAATTACTTTCGAAATTTACTGGCTGAGCGAAATTTAATATAGAAGAGGGAAGCCTCGTAACCCCATTCCGGGAATAGCAAAAGCTGAGACGTTACAGAACGCCCCGACGCGACGTGCAACTCGCGGACAGCGCAAGACGCGACTGCAATTGTCGAGCTTAACGCGGCATTGTTGGGATATCAATACCGGGGCAGTATCTTCCCCCGGAAAATAATCTGCCGGCGATGCAAGTAGACTTCGCGATCGGCGCGGCCTGCTAATTTGTTGGGCGGCGATTTTCTGCGTTTCAACATCGATCGTAAATCTCGAAGCACTTAATCTCGCGTACCTATCGTGTTCCGAAGGCGGTTCGACAACGCGGTGAGGAAAATAGAGAATAACGACGAAACGCGAAGTATGAAACAATTATGAATGAGATGTTGAAAAACGATCGTTGTCGTAAAAGGCGATCGTTGTAACTCTGTTATGCGAAAACGTTTTCAGGAGATTACGGAGGAAAGGACGTTGTTGCAATTTCATTACACAGAATGGCACTCACACACGTGCCCTTTCGGAAACGCGGTGCTGGAATTTAGACGGCGTGTTCGAGCCGTGGTGGGATCAACCATAAAGAACGAATCTGGTCCTATGGTCGTTCACTGCAAGTAAGGCCAACTTGTGTTGCGAATGTTGCATTATTATTTATGTAAAAGCGAGCAGAGCGCCCCGCTCTTTCTCGCGCTAATGAGATAATAATAAATTTATTTGTTTGTGACACAAAGCGATGGTGGCGGACGATCGGGGGTATATTTAGCGATCGACGCGAACATGGAGCTGGCTGAAGAGGAGGACGCGTTTGATGTGTTTGGCTACTTAAAGAAGTTAAGGCAGAGCAGGAAAGGGCTTATAGAAGATTTGGTACAACAGCAATTAAATACTATAAAAGCAATGTGTTAATTAAGAGTCTTGATTTTGAAGAGCTCTATTTTCTATATTCTCTTAAGGGTTTTTGTATCTCAAGAAATTTTAATTATTTTGATAATTAACGTTAATTAATATTCTCTTCTGCTAAGGGTTCTTGTTTCTCAAGAAACTTGAATTATTTTGATAATTATATAAGTTAACGAATAAATTCTCCGTCATTAATCCTTTTTCTAATATTCTTTCGGAAATTGATTATTAATAGTATATTTTGACAATGATAACTTATATCTCGGTACACGCGTTTGTTCATACAGGAACAATACAAATTTGTGTACGACACGCTCGAGGAGTTTGTCGTGTGCGGTACGTCGTGGTTCCCCGTGGCGGAATTGTCGCAACGTCTGAAGCAGAAGAGTGTAAAGAATTCGATAACTAAGATAAACGAATACCAAAGAGAATATGAGCAGATTTGCAAGCAGACGCCGCGTTTCACGATCGGCGACTGCGCCGGTGGACACAGGGCCGATAACAGGGAGAAGAATAGAGACGTTCTGGTAGTTCCACGTGAGTTTCAACTTGCGCGACCGGCAAAGCCTCGACAAATAGCTTTTCCACAAATCAATCTCCCCCTTTGTTACAGCGGACAACTTTCGACCGTACCTCACCAGCTTTCAGGGCAACAGTTTCACGGACTACATCAACGCCGTCTTTGTGGATGTAAGTCAGTAAAATAAATCACCCTGCCTAACTGGTTCACCTTTAACTTTCCTCAGATCGTTGTGAAATGTGCATTTTCCTAATTTAGATATAAACTTTTAACGAAATTTGTACAAAGTACGTCACGTTGATAATTAAAACGGAAATTAATCGTTATAGCGTTTATATAACTGACGTAAATCCCTTTGAAAATCTGATCTATATTATATATAATATTCAAAACGTTAATAAAGTTTTGACAAATGTCGAAAATATAAAAAGCTCTGCGACTACGGGTCGAAATATATATGTCACGTTTTTTCGCGGTACATTCGGCAACCGCTGCCAAGTGTCTTGCAAGGAACTTTATCCACTGTCATGCTACGCAGGGCTACACGAAACCGAGAGAATATATCGTAACGGAATGGCCCCTTCGACACACGTGCGGTGAATTCTGGTCTCTAGTTTACGACTACGAATGCGCCGCGGTGGTGGTGCTGTGCGTGCCACCTCAGACATCCGCGAATTTTCCCAGCTTTTGGCCGGAAGGAAGACATTCCAAGAAATACGGGCCCGTGTTCACGATTGATCACATCAGCCACAACCATTACACCAACATAAAAACTTGGGTGAGAACTAATCTTCTAATCTCCGTGACGCACGATTTGCCGAAAGTTTTTCAATTTTCAGATTTTATTTAAATAATCTTCATAAAAAATCTGCATATATATTTAAAAAATGCACGCGGTGATAATACTCCTTCTTATTTTTAATTTTACGAATAACGTTTTTCAGGTTTTTAGGATAAACAAGAAAATCGTCTCATTGACGGAATTGATGGCGGGAGTGAAAGCACCGCCGAAGACCGTGCAACTGTTCCAATTGACTTGTTGGCCAATGGGCCACAAAGTGCCCACCTCCACAAATAGTTTAGTAGAGCTCATGAATATGGTTGAGAGATGGAGGCAACGGACGGACTACGGACCAGTAGCTGTGGTTTCGCCCGATGGTCGAAGTCGCGTCGGCGTCTATTGTGCCGCCAACGCGTGCATAGAGCAGGTTATTCAACATGGAGAAGTTGACATTTTCCAAGCCGTCAAAACTGTGCGCAGACACAGGCCTCAGCTTGTGGAAAACATGGTACTTCTTTAAATCACAAGTAAAGTTGTAATATAGTATTCTTTAATTTCTCACTCGGTTCTTAAATTATAATATAATATCTTTCGTATATTATATAATGACGTGCTTTTTTTATTAAAGATATTTTAATTTGAGATAAAAAGATAAAGTACAAAATATATATGAAAATAATTTCTTTTTCAGACGGAGTACAAGTACTGCTACGACTTGGTCCTGCACTACGTACTGCACTACTTGAATAAAGACATGAACGAAAAGAAGTGAGAATGCGAGTTGAGGGACGAGCTGTGGTTCATCGAGTTCGGTCGCGGAGCAGCGCTGCCGTTGACCCCGGAGGAAGCACCGGTGGACGGGGAGCCGGTGGTGCCTTGCGCCCAGGGTCGCATCGTCGTTGAGACCGCGAGGCCGGCACCGCCACATTTCGCTACCTGCTCCACCTATCGCAGACCTCTGTTCAGTCGCACATCGAACGAGGTGTCGATCAGCGATACAGCACCGTCGTCGAGTGGTACGGAGCAGAGTCAGTCGGAGCAGCAGCAACAGCAACAGCAGCAGCCACAGCAGACCGTTGGCGGCAAAGGCGCCGTCAGCAAGGGCGCGCCGCAGAGTCCCGCTTCGAGACCGGAGGACCTCGGCGTGACACCCTGGTACCTGGAGGATTATCCGACCACCGATACTTCGCCGGGACCGATAGGCGATAGGAGCTCGTATCCCTCGTACTCGTACGCCGATGGCAGGGACGGCAGGCCGGATCTAAATTCGACGAGGAACAGCAGCATCGAGAGCGAATTCCCGAAGCCGGCGGTGTCGATGCCGCGGAAGGCTTGTATGGATCTGAAGACCGCGATGGCGCTATTGGATGAAACCTGCCCGAATGTGGAACCAAGCCCGTCTCTCACCCCAAGAACGCCCAGAACGCCGCTCACGCCGTACGCGACGCGGAGCAAGCGGGCCCGTTCCAAGAGCAGCGACAATTCGTCGAATTACAGCAACGATCGGTTGAGCGATCGCTCGTTCGAGGTCAAAGATAAGGAAAAGAAGAGGCCGTTCCTCTGGAAGATTGGCATCTCGAAAACGGAGGACCGGCCGTTCCTGGCGAAACTGGCGCCGAGGATCATCGGCAAGCCTTATCTGGAGAAAATCGGGCCCAGCAAAGCCGTCGAGAGACCGTTCCTGGATAAGATCGGTTCGTCCAAGACTCTGGACAAATTCATCTTCGACACACCGCGTAACGAACGCAAGAATGAACTTAGGACGAGGACGATGAACGACGCGATGAAGAACCACGACGGGGCGAAGAATAACATCAGGCACGAAATGATGGCCATCGAACAAATTGCCATCAAAGAAGACGTTGAAATACCAGAGGTAACACCCGTTACTCCCCGTCTAGAAGAGGTACAACGCAAACCTGAGGAGACCTCAAAAGTGGCGACGACAACCTTCGACAGAAGACGTTCGGGTAAAGAGTTTCTGCTGAAGATGTGCTCTTTTGAGACGGAGGATCTGGAGTCCACTGTACCGTTGAAGGAACGACACGGCATCTCTCTAGACGATGCGCTGGACTCAGGTCCGAGCTCGTTGCCGACGGACGCCAACGGCGATGAGCGAACGGAGTCGCGGTTAGAATTGGAAAAGCGACCGACCAGCGTAACCGCCGAGTTATTGAAGTGCCGAGTGACGACGAGCGAGGAGATCATATCCTCCTCTACCACGTGCTTGAACCATTCGCCGGGTGAGACTAACAGCTGGAACAACTCGCCGCGAAGAGCGCAGCGAACGAGGAAGGAAACGGCCACTATGATTCGCCGCAGACTCTTTCAGGGTTCCCACGAAGTCGTTCGTAGCGACGACAGCACGCCGAACTCACCCACGAAGAGGCCCATCTCAAGTGTTTCTCCTGATCGCGAAATCGAGTCCAGGGGTAACGCTCTGGAGAGAGGTACTCTTTCACCGACGAAGACCAGAAAATCGCTCGTAGAAGATATCAAGACGGTCGAGAATACACGCAGATCCATCAAGTACAATCAGTTCGAAAGACGGGGCATCTCCTCGGACAATCTCCTGGCGAAGGACGCTCTTTCATTTGTCACTGCCGCACGGAATATGACCGACAACATCGGGAAAACGCGGGAGATCTCTTCGGAAGATTCGCTGGCGACTCGTCGAGAGTACACGAAGGAGACGTTCAAACAACTGCAGGACAAATTTAAGCTGCAGGAAATACCTCTGGAGAGTTACGCGGCTTTCAAACGGCGCACTCAGGCCGCTCCGGGAGCAATAAGTCGACAAGAAAGACTGAACCTTTTACCAGGCGACCTTGACATCATCCCGAAGATCATATCTGGGACAGAGAACGTTGCACCGGCTGACACGAATGCGAGCGAAACTGCCGTGGATAAGCGAGATCAGAGTCAAGAGGGCACGGTGAGGTCCATTCTGAGAAAACAGCAGGGAATCGATCATCCCGATCAGGAGTCGGACACGAACTCATCCATCAGACGGCCGAAGAGGCGGATCTTTCACGAACCGTCGCAGGAAACTATGGATCTGCTGACGGAACTGCGCAAGGTGAAGAGCTTGTTGAAGACTCCGTCCTGGGAGAAGGATCTGGATCTCGATCAGAAACCGGTGCGGATGCCGAAGCGTATTTTACTGACAGACAAGGAATTCTGTCTCTCGGTGGAGCGGGAAAACAGCGTGCGACGTCCGTCGAGGATGATCAACTCGCTGGAGACCACGGAAGAGGGTAAAGTTATGGCGAATCGGGAGGACAAAGAGAACAAGGAGTGTAACGAGACGAAAACCAATCAGAGATCACCCGGGCCAGCTCTGTTCGAGAAGAAGTGTTTGTCGTTGGACTACGCCGACGAAGAGAAGCCTCAGAAGCCGGAAGCCAGAGCGATCTCTTTGGCCTCCGCGAGGGACCTGCCGTCCGAAAGCGGGGAGACTGACGATTATCCCGACATGATTTGCGACTCCAAGAGCTGCTCTTCGAGCGTTTTCAACTCTCCGTCCGAGGAGACAAACAAGAGAGATCTGGTCGGCGAGCCGACGGAGGAGGAACCACCGAAGAAGCCTACTCAGAATCATTGCGCCGAGGTGGATATCGCCATTCCCATCGATCAAAAGATCAACAGTCCCAAAGGAGACGTCCAAGGGCGAACTAGCGATCTCTACGAGATCATATCGCCCCGATCGACGCCGTTCCGCGTTAAGAAGCGACTCGGCAAAATTTCCGTCGAAGAGACCGTCAAGCCGGAGAATTTCACCCTCGGTTCTAAGGTCGACTGCCGATCGGTCGTTGCTCAGAAACGGACCAAGTGCTTCCCCTTATAACGCACGTCGATCTGCCCGTGGGCGAGATTCTCATGGCACTGGCTCGTGTTCGTACCGTAAGGAGATAGCGTTGCTGATTCCGTCTCGCCTTAATTCTTTCTTTCGATATCACGTTAAATACAAGCGCGTTGTATCGAATACACAATTATTAATATGATATTTAAACAAAAAAAGAAATTGAAGCAAAATGTTGTAAATGCTAAAAACTTTAGATATCTAATCTGCAGTTTTTATTCATAATTAGCAAAATTTTATGCAAAAGATACTTATTCTACATGTTTTCTTTTTTTTTAGAAAAAATAAATTATTTCACACTTGTGACACAATTTTTAGAATATTCTAGAGCACGTTTTATGATTGCACTTTTATAACAAAGATGAAAAAAGAATTATTTATTTTGAACGATTACATATTAAAAAATATTATACAGCGCAGAGGTGAAAGGATCAAGTCGAGCGAATGATTCATAATAACAGTCACGTCTGTCTTCATTCGGTACGAGCATTCCTTCTTGAGTTGCTTCTAAGATCAAACAAATTAATAATTGAAATCTCGTCAATAACTCGCCTAGTAGAAAAAAATGTCTCAATAAATTCGCGTTAAACGGATATTTTTCTGATATGATGCTCGTCTTAAGATGACTTTGTACACTATCGCTATTAGTTTTTAATTAAGTCGAAATTAATCGTGAACGGCGGTAGAAATTTCTAGTTCTACTTTGTACAACTGAATATAATGATGACATCTGCTAATTAACGCTTTTTCTAGCTTTCAAGTTGTTCCTTATTGCACTTTTGCAGATTTTTCTGCAATATGCTGTCGGATACACAGCGAACGCATAGAAAATACGATAACAAGTAAAGAGCAGGAAAGGAAAAATTTGAAAGCACACCATGGCGATAGCAGATGCCATTTCGTTTCGCTCTATTGTATAATATCTTTATATTACAAAGTATTACTAATCTTTTATTGGTCAAATGAAATGACATCCTCTCGAAAGTATAACGGACTTCGATTATGCGAACCGTTGGGAGACGGAAGAAGAAGATGAAGAACGAAGAACAACGGAGACATGTCATCGTGTGGTTTCGGTAAAAAATAAACGTCAGCTTATGAGGAAGATCTGTCCAGCTTTAGAGCCTAATTCCGGAGTTTTTGGCGCAACGAAATTTCGGGACGCGTGCGGAAGCTCCTATCGAAATATTCTAAAGTGTACCCCGACCATTTTTTACTCGACGTTTTCGAAGAAGGAGAATGGCTCGAAATGGAAACGAAAGCTCGATACGACTGTAGACTTTTTACTCGACGCGCGCGGACGAGAGGGATCCGGCGAAAAGAGAAACCCTTCTGTCGAGCAGAGAGTGCCTTGTTCATGTGGATATATATTATTTAAACAAAGAGAGAACAAACATACGCGAAGAAGTTCTAATCGATGATTTAATTCCGACTGCGCGCCGGATTTTCTGAATGGGTCCACGGAGTCGCGCTCTCGTTGAAAGATATATCGCAATTTCCTCCTTCTCTTGTTTTTCCTGAAAAATGATTCTTGCGATATTGCGAGAGGATCAATTGCGGCTTTTAGATTTTTTTTAATACTCACTTGTGTGATTCTTGCAAATTTCTAACGAAACCTACACTTTGTATCTCTGCGATAAGTCGCCTTTAAAAATTAGGAGGAATCTTATTGTTAGATCGAAGGGAAAAAGTTTAAGAGATCTATCGGTGGAGTTTGGAAGAATATTGCGAGCTCGGGAGAGTGCGATTCCCACGCAGATGCGTGCGCCTGCCAAGCCTGCTCTTCGTTCGGCGCGGCACTTAACGTTTTAGCGGCATAAAACTTATATTGTATAAATAATGCAGATTAATCGCGTTCCTCTTATATAATTTTCTAGAGATAGTTAGGGTCGACAACGCGCGCACTAAATTGTCTATTTCGGAAAGTACATTTAAATGTAGATAAAACGTATATATTATATAGTATACGTAAAGTACGTAAGTACGTATCATCGGTACGTATTTCGGTGAGACATGTTTGCGCGATACGGAATTAATAATGTCGGTGTGGATGCACTCTTACCTCATAAATTAGTACTTTCTAAAGCTTAATAATCTCTCTCTCCCTCTCTCCCTCTCTCTCTCTCTCTCATTACTGTACGGTATAATAACTGATAACGTGGTTACTTTAATTCATAAATTTGTCAAAGCGGAGCATATAAGAGCGCGCGTTCTAATCGGATACAAGCTCTCTTAAATAACGAGATTAAATGCGTTTCGTCTCGAAATACTAAACCCTCTCGAAGATCTTCGTACGATTACGTCCGCGGTATAAAAGCGCGAAGATGTCTGTGACGAAACTATAAATGCATCTGGACCGACGTTATGCACGTATGCGTTCGGCAAATATTATAGAAATTAATACAAGCTGGTATATATCGTACACATATATACATATTTATATATGTATACATATATACCTATATATGCGCGTACTTAAATAGGTGTAATTTTATGGATATAACAGCTGGTGAGATGTGCCAAAGAAAAATTTATTGTATGTTACGAAGAAGTTACTTTTATATATACACGTTGTATATATATATACATATATATATATATATCTGTGTGTGCGCGCACAGGAATGCGTGTCTGTGGGTGTATGTGCGCGCGTCTCTCTGTGCAATTGCATTCGTTATGTGTACATACAGGTAATGTGTACACGTGCGTATGAAGTAAGTATATGCATATATGGCTAGGAATTTACATATATTCTATGTGCATACGACCGGGGATATGGCACGAGGATGCACATATTTGGAGCACAACTTGTGCGTCGAGGAAGATCACGATCCGCTATTTTCTCTGTGTACGCACTTAATTTAATTAATTCAAAATGAACGGGGCCCGCTGCTATCCTTATCGCAATCTCATTTCCCAACTAGCGCACTTGAATGTCTCGCGCGATTAATGTTTTAATCGTTTAATGCAACTCCCCGTCTACACCGCAAATATAACGGCGTCATAAAGCGGCATGAGGTCCTTAAAAAAAAAAAACTATTGCAACCGTAATTACTTTTTCCAATTTACAAATAGCGCAAATGTTTGAATGAAAGGAGATGTTTTCTCTCGTATTTGCAAAATCTATAACTAACTATTCTCTTCATACTTATCGCGCAATTCTGACGTTCTTCATTCTGCCGAGTTTAACATTTGAATTTGTCATAACAAGGATCGCGAGTATCCGACTGCCCATCTTTACTCGAGTCAATATAGTCGAGGCTTATTAGTGGCTCGTGATCCTCCTTAATCGTGTAAGACCGCAATAGTGTACATAGATATTTTCGGCCGGTGCAATACCATCAGATATATGGTGAGACAGGGTTCGCTTTGTAAATCGGAGGGCAAAACTCATCCACTCTCGTGTAAAAACTTGATAGAAAAACTCACCCCCCCCCCCCCCCCTCAAAGGCCGCGGCAGCTATCCGTCCACCCTTTCGGCTGTACACGCGAAAAAGTGAAGAATGCAAAATACGTGAATGCGCACCGTCGTTCTCGTGCGGCGACGACGTGACGATAAACGGTTATATTGTAATGTTACTATTGCGACAAATTTTCGTTCTCGCAGGCGAGATTTAGCGTTCAAACGCGAACGCGCGAATTAGTTGCTGTTACGATTTTAGAAAACGTGCTCCACGCATGAGAGGATCGCTCCTCTTGCATAACTTTTCTTCGAAGTAATAATTAATCATTTGAACACGAATGTTTTACCGTTGGTTCCGAGATATAACGATTGAGGATATATTCTATACACATATATATACGTATATAACTCTGTTCCTACATATAAAACTCCGTTTTAATCGCGGTGAGGGAAGAGGATGTTACGTCGGCGATGCGCACCGCCGAGAACGTCAAGTTCGACAAGACGTAAAGAGCGCTACCGAACTGAAAAGAGTTCGGCGAAGTGAGAAATAGCAGAGAAACGAAATGTACAAGTTAGTTAATACTCGAATCAATTCTAAACTAACGCGGCGCACGTTTAGAGCGTAGTGATCGCGTGGCTTGATTTTCTCATCATCGTGTGAAGTAAAATCTCAGGATCTAAGGACCGCGGCAAGCCGGATACGTATATAACTGTTACTTAAGACGAGGCAACGGGGTTTCTGCCTATACTTGAAATGATTCGATCTCCTCCCGTTTACTCCTGAGGCGATTCACCGAATAACGTTATAGACGTTATAGACGTTTAGCATAGAGCAAGATGGTACAATGGGACTGTAATGTTAATTAATTTCTGTTTTTTTTTCCGCGTCACGTTGAACGTGCTACGCTATGACACGTGTCATTACATATACGTAATTGTATAATACACACGTACGTCTACACGCAATTACACGCACACGACACAAGCGACGTGAGTGTATGGTTGTTCTGTGTATGCATGTACGCGATAAGTAAGTATCTCTATATGTGATGGGCGTTCGCCACGTTCATGTCAATAAAATTTCACATTGTAACAAGCCATTAGAATTGCCGCCACGACTAACAGAACGAATACGAACGTGCGATGTAAAAGTATAACGGAAGTCCGGGGACTCGCCGTGAGTGGTCACCGTATATGGCAAAACGCGCGAAATCGATTATTCGTTTATGAAAATCTATAAACCTTTTCGTAGATTACGGATTTCACTGAACCTCATAAAACATTGGCGAATGCAAACTACTACTGATTACGGGTTAGATTCCATCAAAGTACGTAATTCCGCGGACATTACAAATAAATTATTTTTCATTTTGAATCCTTTCTAAGGATTTATTTTGAATCCTTTCTAAGGATTCAAGATTGTTTAATTTTGCAAAAAAGTTCTTTACTAATCGATATTATTTAATATTGTTTAACTATTTATCTTTATATTAATATTTATTCATACAGGATGTCCTAAAATTGCAGTATGATATTTTGGATGCTTTGCGATGAATTTAAATCTCAATTTTAGTAATTTGTTGGTCAAAGAAAAATTTTTTATAGAAAAAATAAATATTAATGTGGAAGTAAATGTAAATATCTGACATTAAATATTTTTGTTATTATATACAACTATAATTATATAGAAAATATGTCCATATATATTGTCTTGTAAATCTTTGTTTGTATGTACAAGAAAAATAATAAGAATTATAAAATAATTTAAAGAATAATTTTCGCATTGTATTTTTTACAAAAAGTTAAGTTTGCGGAAAAGAGAAAAAAATGTACATATATAATTATATATAAATGTGATAACCGTATATAAAATGTAATTATATATAATTATATATACAAAATATTATATAATTTAATCGCAATTTTACTTTTTATAAAAAAAAAAAAACAATACAAAAATAATTTTAAAATTATTTTTCAATTACTCTAGTATTACTTTTTTATACGTATGTACAAACAAAGATTATTAACAAAATATATAGACATATTTTATGTATAATTTTATATAAACATTTTTTCCGGAATAATACATAATTGAAATTTCGTTTGAAATAAAATCTATCCGCTTACTTGTATAAAACTTAATTTCCAAAGAGTTTAGATTTCTAATTACATAAAATTTGAATCTTTCGCTATCTTTCGCTTAGAAGTAATTTACTCCGAGTTGCTCGGAGGAACTTATAATGTTATATATGTTACAAGCAACATCTTCAAAATATCATCTCGTGATTTTTTTTCGTGCGTTACGTTTGTAAGATACCTACGCGGTTATCGTGACTGCTTTTTAGAGACCGCCGTATTCGATACATGTTGCAGCGATTTTGCGAAAGTTGGTGATCACGGCGCGCCGTCGCGTCACCACCGCATTTGTATTGCCGTGTATCCGATTTACGCGACTTGATCGATATGGATCGATTCCAGTTTCGGTGTTCAAAGTTGATAAAAAAAAGCTTCGTAAGACTCACCCTGGGCTGGGTGCCTGACGATCGGCCTCGTTACTCAACGGAACGTAATTGCAGCCCCGGAGTACGGTTGCGTCGTTCGCACGCCGGTTAGTCGGGGAAAACGGCGCTGTCGAAACGCAACTGCAAAAGATGGAAATACGTGTAATAGTATATTGTACACCAAAGGGGAGAAAGCATTGTTTTTCAGCGGCAAATCACACTACGAGTCTGAAAAAGCTTTTGACCCGAGGTTGCACATGATATTTTTCACAACACTTTTACGGAAAGTTTGACTTCCATGTCTAGAGAGGGGCGCGCGAGAGTGGCCATTTCACGTCAGGGGTTACTTTCCTCCCTAGGGAAGAAAATTGATACTTTCCGTCCGCTATGCCGGGTGGAAAGTATCAATTTTCTTCCCTAGGGAGGAAAGTGGTTACTTTCCGCCCGCTATGCCGCCCTGGCGTAAAATTGGCCACTTTCGCCCCTCTCTACAGGCATGGAAAGTCAAACTTTCCGTGGAGGTGTTGTGAAATAGTTATTTGTGTAACAAGTGCTGTAAGATGGAATAACACACGTGTTACACACCCTATTTTATGTTGCAAGTGCGTGTAAAGTGGTCTATCACGCACGCGTCGCGTGTGTAATGGGCCACTTTCCATGCACGTGTGACATAAAAATATGCTCACTGATTACTCGCGCCGACAGCCTTGGATATCGTCGAGATTACTTACCAGAAGGATCGGCTGATTCGAGCGATCGTCCGTCGGATGAACGACGATTCGTGAAAACAGATTCGCGTTATGCGTTGCGCGACGACTTCCGGCTGCTCCTGGCTCACGGCAGTCCCGGTTCCCGGTCCGTTACACTTTCGTACTCGCGCTCGCGGAGGGCGCGTAACCATTCGGTCGCGTTCGGTCGCGTTCGGCGGCCGCCGACTGGCCCGGAACGGCACGACCGTGCGCCATTTTTTAAAACTGTGTGATAAGCGACCTGTCGTTAGACGAAGCGCGATGTGGTTTTACGTAACATTGCTACGTTGTTGTAAATAATAAATAGATTGTACGTTGCATATATTACGCGACTTGTGTACATTTATCCCCTCCCTCCCTTACCGACCGTCCTATAAGCTTATGCTTGTCAATTAATCTTTTGCACTTGAAACTTTTTTTGTTAAAAGGTTGATGAGATTTTTTAAAACTAACATAAAAATAAATTATACATATATTAACGATATATGATATATCTAACTATAATTTTATTTCAGTATTTTATGTATTTTTACATTATACAAGACTTAATATGTTGAACCCGTAATATTTTTCCCATCATTAACAAAATTTATTTATCGAAAAGATTTATATATTAGGGAGAACTAAAAGAAATAATTTATCAAAAAATCTTCAGAGATTGTTTCAGCATATATTACAACACAAATTATTGCTTACAAAAATCTTTTAAATAACTTTTTGTCTTTATTATTATCTTCGTCTTTATTTTCTTTGCAATCGAAGAATTTATTTACGACCCGTATAAATCTGCATTTTTTAAAAACGTATTCTGAATGGTTTCGAAATCTATATGAGAAATCGCATTCATAATATATACAGATACTATATTATATGAGTATAATATAGATAAATATACATTTAATATATTAATTTCACAAATCTGTTACCCCATTATAAAAAATTTGTCACTTACCGACACGTGATACGCAACGGGCGAAATTACCCAACTACGTAGATACGGTGATATAATACTATGATACACAAACGAAATATTTAAATTAAAGAGGCACTCCGAATGATAAATGTTTCAAAAGATAATTCTTTGCGCATCTAATTTGTCTTTGAATTATAATTTACTAATATAATTATTTATTTTTTGAAAAAGATTTTTACAAAAGTAAATTTATATAAAATTTTTGATGGATTCTTTTTCTCCAGTTATTTCTAACTCATCAAGATAAAACATTTCGACTAATGGGAATTAAAAACAATTAATTTTAAGCAGATGACAAATGATACTCATTTCTTTGCCCCGCCAGGGTTCGATGCCTCTTACGGACCTCTTCCTTTTCTTAGGACATCTTTTTGAATACTTAATTGCATAGCAACACCAAAATTTTGCATTAAATATTTTTTTTTGATAAAATTTTTTTAAATTACAATGTCGCGCTAAATCGCGTAGACGTATGTTAATTTGCACAAATATTTATTAATTAATTTTTCATCAATTATATTGAGAAAATCAGTAAAGAACTATTCTATCCAATTCAATTTAACTCGCTCTACCGTGCGAGAAGTGATGATTTTGTTACCGGCCAGATAGCAAAGAGAATTCCCAAAGAATTCAACATGAATTCGCAGTTTCCAAAATGAATTTCTCAATGAATCCCATTTCTGTCCGAAATGAATTCCTAAGTGATTCTTTACGAATTCGAAGTTATGTCAGCATTTGCAAATTCTTTTGTAAATTCTAAATGATGTCTGAAAAACGGAAAAGTATTCCTTAAAGAGTTCGAAAAGAGTTCAAAAGGATTCGAAAGAGTTCAAATAGAGTTTTAAAAGAGTTCAAATAGAGTTCTAAAAGAGTTTGGAAGTTCAAAAAGAGTTAGAAAAGAGTTCAAAATGAGTTCTAAAGGGACCGCAAAGACTCGATAAGAACTCTTGCGCTGTTCAGAGCCATTTTGAAAAGAGTTATGTGAGAGCAAGGACGCTCTAATCCATAAAAGAATCGCATTGAGCCCGTTTAGCACATGCTAACAGTTGCAAGTTGTTTAATGTTTCTAGTGGTTTACTTTTCCGATTGGGCTACAAAAATGGTCTTAACCACATCGAAAAACTGAACCACTAGAAACACTGAACAGCTTTGCAACTGTTGGCACCTGATGAACGCGTCCATCGCTATTCCTCGATCTCTGTACGAAATAGAAATGTAAGTTAAAGTGTATTATAACAGAAAAGACTTAACGGTAAGCATATGCTTCAACGTCAGATGTATTATGTTATAGTTATATCAGAAGTTAAACATTATTAATATTTTAATACAGTATTTTCTATCATAATACATTTTACCTTACGGTTAAGTTCCGTATTTCCGTTTTCTTTATTGTATACTTTGAAGGCGTAAAGGAGTAATTTTCGTGGGCTTCTATAATATATTGTATCACCATGGACAATATCTCCTGAAACGTAACTCCTCGCGTCCCAAATATACATAATTAAAAAATCTCGCATTTTTTAATGATCAGTTTTTATTATTTCATATATTCAAAAGTTATATAGAAAAGTTATATAGAAACGACGAATTTATATAAAGTCATGAATGAGTATACAAAATTTGTACAAACTTATACAAGGCATACAAAACTTATTATTTATTGAACTTATTATAAACTTATATAATATATGAACTATATATATGAACTTATTATAAATTTACTTAATGTACAACTTATAAAAACTAGTAAAACTTATAAAAACTAGTAAAACTTATAGAAACTTATAGTTATAGTTATAGTTATAGAAACTTATCGCAATTAGTTATCGCATCCTGTCCGTTGCATGTTGCAACCACGATTTAATAGTTTTTTTTATGCTCGTTCTGGTCGCATCTGTTTGCTTGGAAATAGTTTCTGCAACAAAAAAAAGTGCTTCATAGGACACGTTTATATAAGCAGGTTTTGAATTATATTTTGATTTTCAAGAAACTCACTGATAATCAATTGACAAATTACAGTTGAACTGAACTTCAGTGTTTTACGCTGCCCAGACCATGAGTAAATTTTTGCCAGTGAATCAGTCATGACATGCCTCAACACGGCCCTCGTAAATTTCGATACGTCTGCCCTGCCTACCAGTTGTATGTCGCGAATCTAAAAACAGAGATTATGCATGTATGTATGTATATATGTATGGATGTATGTACGTACGTATATATATAATCAGAAAATGTGATAGCATATGTCTATATTTGTATGTACATATAAAACAATGCAAACTTACAAATTGACTTCAAACATCAGCAGACTGTGACAGATTCGCATCAAAATTCTCGAATTCCCTGTAATTTTCCAGTGGAAATTCTGGTAAAAGATTCTGCTCTTCTTGCGGCAGTGGCCTGCCATGATCTTGCAAATTGATCAGATGCGATTCAATTTTGATTCCATCTGTTTATAATATTTTAGGAACTGTCTCACAGTCATCGGTTCTGAAGTAGATGTACATATTTTTATCAACAAATGCGAGGTGGATATTTATTTATGGATATTATTTGTATTTTATTTTACCGAGTATTTTTATATTGTTGCGCTCGCCGCAGTTCGAGATCGCGTCACTACACCTACTCACTCAGTCACTCGCGCAACCAGCACTCGCGGGCAATGAAGTGACACAATATAAGATGGTAAGGACTCGTTTTAATAGTACACACAAAATACTACAGAGATTCGAGCTGTCACGTTCGCACGAAGTCCGCCGCTCGAAAACAAACAACAACAGAACATCACAGGAAAATCAATAATCCATATCAGCTGGTCGTCAGGGACGATTCTCAACTCGCCGCTAGCACGGGCGCATACCGGGCGTCTCGGACAGACTCGCACGGGCGCAACAATATAATCATAGACAATATAAAACATGTAAAATTAAACCCATGGCGATCAAAAGGGGATATCGGAAGTTATTCGTATACCAGAAAACAAAAAAGGTATACATTAATGACGATAATGTAGCTATCGGTTGAATTATAACAGCATATTTGTTCGAAAAATATTTTTGCTCATTTCTTTTTTATATTTTTAAATAAGTACATATGAAAAATGAAACTCTACTGTAAGATTCATTGGTATGTTTTGATTAGTATCGATATACTTAAAATAAGATACAACAACCCAGGTAGCAAGCACTCGTCATTTTGACGTCAATATTTGGTCATAATTGGTCAGTAACGTCATTCGTCGATTAAGTGACGTATATTTAACGTCATGTTTTAATACGTCAAAAAGACTTTGTAAAATGACATTATATAGACGTTTAATTGACTACCCAGGTAGCAGACAGTCGTCATAATGACGTGATTCTTACGTTATTTTATGACGCATGTTACGTCATTTATTCCTAAAGTTTGACGTAAAAATGACATATTTTTCACAGTATTTTTCACAGGAATATTCCTACATTTATAAAGTGTTTCGTTACTTTATGATTGACGTTGTGAATTTATGGTATAAGTGGATCTAGTTGCGTGTGTAATTATAGTTTTATGACAACTATTTCATGCAGTGTTATAACTATTAAGAAGATATCATTACAAGATTTTTGACCACTTTAAAGATGTACCTGTTATAGACAAGTACAGTTAATAGGGAAGCATCAGGGTGAGAAGATCGTCACTGTCCACTGGATCATCGAAGTCAAGCGACTCGGACGCGGTACTGTACTAGGATGGGTGACCGCCTTGAGAGCGGCTATACGCACATGGCATGTAACGAAACAGTTAAAAAGCTTTTTTTTTTTAGATAAAGAAAAAGAACATTTTTTTATAAACGTTTATCAAGTAGA